TGATCAGGGAAGTGCGGGAACATTCCGTGTAACGAAGAGAAATTGATGGGGAAGCCGTCAAACTGAGTTTCGTGGGTCAGCCTGGGCATGCCCTGGAGTGAATGCACATTCGCGGCCCTTGCCGAAACAGGCAGGGCGCAGAAGAATGATGAGGGGGCGGGGGAGGAGGAGGTGGGGGAGGAACACGAGGAGGACGAGGACTAAAAGGAAGAAGGGAGGAGCGACGGGAGTAGCAGGAGGGGGGCGAGCAGAAGTATGATGACATTGACTGCGCAAGCTTTCTGGGGGGAAGGAGGAGGAAGAAGAGGAGGAGGAGGAGGAGAAGGAGGAGGGGGATGAGGAGGAGGAGAAGGAGGAAAGGAGGAGGAGGAGGAGGAGGAGGGGGAGGAGGAGGAGGAGGATTGGGCGAGGAGGAGGAGGAGGAGGCGGAGGAGGAGGAGGAGGAGGAGGAGGACGAGCGTACAACGCGCCCACGCGCGTGCGCGCGAGGTGTGAATTCTGCATTGTTCTCAGCGGTCTGGCAACGAAGGGGCCTGGAAACGAAGGGGTTGTTTGGCGGTGACCGAATGGGTGTTCCAGGTAGCGCGGGGCTGCAGCGCGCCGGCCAAGTGGCTCAGCGCGCAACGCGCCCGCGCGCGCGCGCCGGCGCGAGCTGTGAATTCTGTATCATTTATAACAGAAGGGCCGCAATGTTGGCATGGGAGCTCAAGTAGTCCCCTAGCGGAGACCGATTGGATTTCCGATTCACCATGGGTTTGTAGCACGTCGGCGAAGTGGCTCAGCGCGCAACGCGCCCACGCGCGCGCGCGGGCGCGAGCTGTGAATTCTGCGTCATCCACAAAAGAAGGGCAGTCGCGCTGTCCTGGAAACTAAAGTGCCCCCCCAGCGGTGACCGACTGGATTGTCAAATTGACATGGGGATGTAGCATGTCGGCCAAGTGGCTCAGCGCACAAGTCGCCCGCGCGCGCGGGAGCGAGCCGCCGCTCTGCGTTATCCAGAACAGAAGGGCCGCCACGGTGGCTTGGGGGTTCAAGCAGCCCCTTAGCGGTGGCCGATTTCTTTTTCCAATTGAACATGGGCTTCTAGCATGTCGGCCAAGTGTCTCAGCGCGCAGCGCGCCCACGCGCGCGTGCGCGCGAGCTGTGAGTTCTACCCGCAATAGCAGGGCCGCCATGCTGGCCTGGGAAATCAAGCGGCCCATTAGCGGCGACCGATTGAATATCCGAGATAGCTCGAGTTTGTAGCGTTTTGGTTAAATGTTTCAGCGTACAACGGGCCCACGCGCGCGCGCGCCCGCTTGCGCTCGCGCGCGCGAGCTGTGAATTAATGCTGTATCACCAACAATAGAATGGCCGCCACGTTTGCTTAGAAACTTAAGTGGCCCCTTAGCAGTAACCGACGGACTTCCAAGTTAGCAAAAGGTCGTAGCATGCCGGTTAAGTTGTGCAGCGTACAGAGCGCCCGCGCCTGTGCGCGCAGGCGCGAGCTGTGAACCTGTATTCTCCGCAGTGCAAATCCCGCCACGTTCGCCTGAGAATTCAAGTGGCCCCTTAGCGGTGGCCGATGGTAAGTTCCATGTTTAACATGGGTTTGTAGCGTGTCGGCCAAGTTGCCCAGCGTGCAAGGCGCCTCGCGCGCGCGCCCGCGCGCGCGCGAGTTGTGAATTTTCCTACTACCCGCAGTAGAAGGGCCGCCATGTTGGCCTGCACATTCAAGTGGCCCCTTTGCGGTGGCTTCCAGCATGTCAGCCAAGTGGCTCAGCGCGCAACGCGCCCGCGCGCGCGCGGGCGCGAGCTGCGAACCCTGGCCCACAGTAGAAGGGCCACCGTGTTGGCTTGGAAACCCGGATTGATTTCCAGGTTAGCACAGGTTTGTGGCATGTTGGCCAAGTGGTTCAGCTCCCAACGCACCCGCCCGCGCGCGCGAGTTGCGACTTCTGGACCACTTGGTTACCCATAATAGAAGGACCGCCACGATTGCCTGGAAACTGAAGTGCAACCCTATCGTCGGCTGATACGACTTCCGAGTAACCATGAGTTAGCAGCGTGTCGATTAAGCTGTATTTTTTATTGCACGCAATAGAGTGGCCGTCATGTTGGCCTGGAAGCCATAGTGGCCCCTTAGCGGTGGCCGATTGGTTTTCCCAGTTTACTTAGGGTTGCCGCATGTCGGCCAAGTTGCTCAGCGTACAACGCACCCGCGCGCACGCGCGGGCGCGAGTTGTGACCTCTGTATCGCTCACAACAGAAGGGCCGCCGTATTGGCTTGGAAACGCAAGTGGCTCTCTAGCGATGGCCGACTGGATTTTCAATTTAACATGGGTTTGTAGCATGTCGCACAAGTGGCTCAGCGTAAAGGACGCCCACGCGCGCGCGCGAGCAGTGACTTACGAACTATCCACACCAGAACTTGCCCGTTGCGGTAGAAGATTGAATATCCTAGTTAGCATGTGGTTGTGCCATGTTGGCCAAGTAGCTCAGCGTGCAACGCGCCCGCGCGCGCGGGCGCGAGCTGTGAACTCTGTATCATCCACGACAGAGGACCGCCGTGCTGGCCTGGCAATTCAAGCGCCCCCGTGGCGGTGGCCGAATGGATTTCCAAGTTAACATGGGGTTGTTGCATGTCGGCCAAGTGGCTCAGCGCACAACGCGCGCACGCGCGCGCGCGGGCTGTGCATCCTGCACTACCCACAATAGAAGGGCCGCTGTCTCCTGGAAACTCATGCGGCCCCTGAGCGGTGACCGATTGGAATTCCGAGTTCACATGGGCTTGTCGCATGTGGCTGAACGTACAACGCGCCCGCGCGCGCGCCCCCACCCCCGGCGCGTGCGAGCTCTAAAATCCGTACTACCCGCAATATCGGGTCCTTTTATGTTGGCATGGAAGCTCAAGTGACCCTCCGCAGTAACCGATTGAACTTCCGAGTTAACATGGGGGTTGTCGCGTATCGGCCAGGTGGCTCAGCGTACACGTCGCCCACGCGCGCGCTAGCTGTGAACTCTTTATTTTCCACCGTACAACGGCCACCATGTTGGCATGGAAAATCTAATTGGCCAATTAACGGTGGCTGATTGTATTCCGAGTTAACATGGGCTTGTAGCATGTCGGTCACGTGGCTTAGCGTACAACGCGCCCGCGCGCGCGAGATGTGACTTCTGGATTACCCACATTAGAAAAGGGCCGCCATGTTGTGGCCTGGAAACTCAAATGGCCCCTTAGCGGTGACCGATTGGATTTCGAAGTTAGCATGAGTTTGTAGCGTGTCGGTTACGTGGCTCGATTTACAAAGCGCCACCGCGCGCGCGCGCGCGCGCCCGCGACCGCGCGAGCGCGAGTCGCGAATCTTGGGTTACCCACAAAAGAAGGGCCGCCGTGTTGGCCTGTGAACGAAGGTGTCCCTGAGAGGTGACCGACTGCATCTCCAAGTTAACATGTGGTTGGAGCATGTCGACCATGTGGCTGAGCGCGCAACGCGCCCACGCGCGCGCGGGCGCGAGCTGTGAATTCTGTTGTGCCCACAATGCAAGGGCCGCTATGTTTGCCTGGAAACTCAAGCGGCCCCTCAGCGGTGGCCGAATGGATTTCCAAGTTAACATGGGGTTGTAGCACGTCGGCCAAGTGGCTCAGCGTACTACGCGCGCGCGCGCGGGCGCGAGCTGTGCATTCGGCGCGCGGCGGCCGCGGGCCTTTCTGCGTGGGAAATAAACACAATATGCGAGCGCGGAAATGCAGCCACACGCATTGTGGCCATGGGCCACTACGTAGGTAGGCGAACACACGGCTGCAAGGGGCAATGCCGCCGCGCGTTAGGGCGGGGCACCATATTATGCGCGAGGGGAAAGCGCCGAGGCCATGTGCGGCCCGTGTTCAGCGCAG